GTGTGTGTGTGTGTGTGTGTGTGTGTGTGTGTGTGTGTGTGTGTGTGTGTGCGTGTGTGCGTGTGCGTGTACGTGTGCGTGTGTGTCCATGTGTTTGTGTTTGTGTGCATGCGTGCGTGCGTGTGTGTGTGTGTGTGTTTGTGTTTGTGCGCGCGCGCGCGTGTGTGTGTGTGTGTGTGTGCGTGTGCGTGGGTGTCCATGTGTGTTTGTGTGCGTCCGTGCGTGCGTGCATGTCTATGTGTTTGTGTGTGCGTGTGTGCGTGTGTGTCTATGTGTTTGTGTGTGCGTGTGTGTATGTGTCTATGTGTTTGTGTGTCCGTGTGTGTGCGTGTACGTGGGTGTTTAGTAAGAGGCCCACACTCCTTCCATGCTTTCCTGGATGTTTGAGTTGCACAAAGTAGTGCAGTTTTCACATATAGGGTGACCAATGCACGCGAGAATTTGTGCGTGCGTACGTGCGTGCATGTCTTTATTGCAGGTTAGTCGCATGGGGTGATCACCTAGTGTAGTAAAACTCGCACGTCTTCTCATACGCCGGTTGCTTGCTGCTTTATTGCTAGCGAGTAGTTCACACAGGCGAGCATGGCAGGGCAGACCTTCTTCTGAACCCTAGCTTGGCTTCTGAAACCTAGCTTGGCTTCTGAAACCTAGCTTGGCTTCTGAAACCTAGCTTGGCTTCTGAAACCTAGCTTGACTTCTGAAACCTAGCTTGGCTTCTGAAACCTAGCTTGGCTTCTGAACCCTAGCTTGGCTTCAGAAACCTGGCTTGGCTTCAGAAACCTAGTTTAGTTCTGAAAGCCAGGGTTGAATACAGTGAACGCGTGTGACTATCATTGGGTGGCAGTGGTAATCATCTTTCCCTTCCCACTTCACTCCTTGGTAATGGTAACGATGGATAAACAACTTTTACCTGTGTATGGTAATTAACAGGTGTATTAATCCAATGTTCATTGCAAAGGTTAAAGCTAAATGGCATCGAGTGATAAGCTCGGTGAATCCACATGACAGCAGTGATAGCAGTGATGGCATAATAGCAGTGGATCTACGTTCCACAGAGACGATGCAGAGGTTCCGCTACACGCCCGTTTTATTGTCACGAGCCTTGGCTTCATCTGCTATCCAGATTGGCTTCCGTTTCCCTTTCTGTAGACCCCTGGATCTATCCCGATGATGATAGGAGCTTAAGGTGACTGAGACAGATGATGTTGATCCTTACAGGGTTACTGCCACCAGACGGCGCCAGGCATGCAGCCGCAGCACGGGGCAGGTCGCGCCACCGTCACACAGCTGCACTACCACCACCAGCAGGCGCAGGAGCTACAGCAGCATCTACAGCAGCTGCAGCTGCAGCAGCAGCAGCTGCCCGAGCCGACCGACATGGTGGCGCCCTCTGACCGCAGCGCTTACGCGGGTCAGCCGAAGTCGGCGTATCAGCCAAACACACATTCTCACTTTAAGGTAAGGTTTGGTGCGTGCGTGCGTGCGTGCGTGAGCATCTGAGTGAGTGTACGTGTGCGTGAGTGAGTGAGTTGGTGTGTGTGTGTGTGTGCGTGCGTGCGTGCGTGCGTGCGTGCGTGCGTGCGTGCGTGCGTGCGTGTGCGTGTGTGTGTGTGTGCATGCGTGAGCGTATGTGAGTGTACGCGTGCGTGCGTGAGTGAGTGAGTTAGTGCGTGTGCGTGCATGCGTCCCTGCGTGCGTACATGCGGGCCATGTTACTGCTGCTGCTGCTGATACTGCTGCTGCTGCTGCTGCTGCTGTTACTCCTGCTACTGCTACTGTTGCTGCACGATACTGCTGCTGCTGCTGATACTGCTGCTGCTGTTCCCACTGCTGTCAACGCCGCCACATCACCACCACAGCTTCAGAAAGCAACAACAGCAACAACAGCAGCAAAAACAGTAACAGCAGCAACAACAGCAACAACAGCAGCAAAAACAGTAACAGCAGCAACGACAGCTGTGATTGCCGCGCGCGAGAATCATGCGTGGTCTTTAATCTTTCACGATGCTATTTTATTTCATGCATGTCTACGTTTGTGAAAGAGCTTCATGCGAAATACTATAGCTAACGATGGCAAATAACGCATTTACACGCTTGCGTGCGCGCGCTCGTGCCTTGCGGGGATTTGTTCAAACGTGGCAGACGCGATAGCGACCTAGCATGCTGTGTGAATTCTTATATTGGTCCAGTGAGAGTCACTGAGTCAGAAAGCAATAATGATACACGGGGAGAGTGATCGTGAGAAATAGAAGGAGATGAAGAGCGGTGGATAGATAGATAGATTGAGAGCGAGTGAGAGAGAGAGAGAGGGGGGATGGAAGGGAAAGTTTGAGAGAGGGGAACGGAACCGGGGGGGGGGGCAGGGAAGACTGTGATTTAAGGGGCGAGCTATAAAGAGGTTAAGAGAGAGTGCGTGAGAAAGTCAGACAGATGTGGAAAGATAGTGTGAGAGAGAGAAAGCAGACCGAAACCGAGAAAGAGAGAGTGAGTGAGTGAGTGAGTGAGTGAGTGAGTGAGTGAGTGAGTGAGTGAGTGAGTGAGTGAGTGAGTGAGTGAGTGAGTGAGTGAGTGAGTGAGTGAGTGAGTGAGTGATCGAAACGTTTGCATACGTCGTGTGTGTGTGTGTGTGTGTGTGTGTGTGTGTGTGTGTGTGCGTGTGTGTGTGTGAGTGTGCATGTGTGTGCATGTGTGTGCGTGCGCGTGTGCGTGCATGTGTGTGCGTGCGCGTGTGCGTGCGTGCGTGTGTGACGTAAACGTTAAAGACGAGGCACACCCGCATGTATTATGAACAGCAGTTCGCTGTACGATACGCGCCATTCTGAATTCACACTCAGCTCTTACGTTGGATTATATACATCTCTGCACATCGGTGTGCAACTATGTGCAACTATGTGCAACTATGTGCATCTATGTGCATCTGTGTACATCTATGTGCGTCTGGGAGCGTCTGTGTGCATCTGTGTACATATGTGTGTATCAGTGTACATCTGTATACGTCTATGTGCGTTTATGTACGTCTGTGTGCGTCTGTCTGTCTATATCTAGGTTCATCTGTGTGCATTAGTGTACGTCTATCGATCTACACTTGTGTACATCGATTTACATCTATGGCCATCTTCATGGCGCGAGCTTCGAATCCCATGTCAAAAATCCAATAAGCCTTGTGTATCTATCAGCAGTGTGTAAATTTATAAAGAGTCTAATAGAATCAATTGCACACCATCTGTTTGTTTTTCATAATACGTTCGAAATTAAAAGTCTATAAAACCGGCAATCATAATTTATACTACATAATAAAATAATGAGATATTGGTGGAATGTAAATAGAACCTAACTAGTGTATTATTCCACATCAACACACGCAGCACGTGTGTATGATGAGTCAGCAGCCCACGATTTAGCTTCTCAACAATGGTCGGCAGAATGGTCGCGCAACACTGACTCCTATAAGTAACTATTAGTATATAGAGATCAGTGTCGCGCAACAAAAACAACGGGTCGTAGCTAGCGGGCGCCAATATGTTTGGCACTGTGCCAACACTAGAGGGAGTTGGGTGTCTAGTTGGTTGGTTATGGCGAGGCTGACTGCGCGCGCGGTGGATTCGGTTAATGGTCTGTTGAGTTTCCCTTTCCTCCTCATGCGAAACATTCAAGCGAAGCAGACGCGCAGAATAGGAGGAATCTGTAAGCCGATGATGATGATGATGACGTTGGTGGGAAATGGAAAGGTTTAGCTTACAAGAGCAGCGAGAGTCAACCTAATGAAAATGCCTCCCGGGCAATATATCGTATCCGACAGACGCTGTCTGGCTGTCTGAAGTAAGAGGGCTAAACGTTTGAAGCAAAGGCGAGACAGAGAGAGAGGAACAGCGCGATAGGAGGAGAGAGACAGAGATAGAAAGAGAGAGAGAGAGAGAGAGAGAGGGGGGAGAGAGACCGGCAGAGATAGCGAGATAGAGAGAGCCACACATGTAGGACTTCACTTTTCCATTATCACCTCAGCAGGAAGGCTAACAACTCGCCTTAGGATTAAACCCATTATGAACGTCAGCCAGTGAGTAGTGGCGATGCTCATAGAATGGCGGAGAGCAAGGGTTCCCAATCCCAGCCTTATGTAACTCTCTACCTATTAGAATCCCCTATTAGAATCGTTCCCACAGACCTCCCTCTTCCCCCCCAAATAGCTCGATTTTATTGCCTGTATGTATACGCATTTACACATGCGATGCAAACGAGAAAAGGCGTTTTTATGAATGCCGGCATTAAAAAAAGATGGCGATCGCTTCTAATTAAATTGAATCGAATAAATTGCTGGGCAGCTAATCCTAGCTGCGATGTCAAGCGAGGAGCGATGAGATGATGATTAATTTGAAATTAATTACGAGAGAGAAACATCGAATGAGCGAATGAGTGACAACGCTCTTATCTGATTAATTACCGGGTGATTGGCACCACCTCGGTGTTGCAACTCCTGATATCATGTATTACAGCAGCCGCAGCAGTAGTAGCACCACCACCACCACCAACAGTAGCAGCATCAACACCACCGCCACTACCATCAACAGCAGCAGCATCAACACCACCGCCACTACCACCAACACCACCACCACTACCACCA